AATTAACCTTTGAGTAAATACGTGACGCCGATGCCTAAACGCGGAGGTACCCTACATACCCGACGAGAGGACCGGGCGTTTAACGAAGTCCTCTGTCCTCTGACAGAGCATGGACTGTCCAGGCCTCTTCTAGTCGGTCCCTTGAGTTTTAAGAATGCCATCACTTTTCTTATCCGATAACGCGGTGATGAAGTGATGGGGCCGTTGATAAAGCCGCGCCAAGAGGCCCACGGCATACTACATCCCCGCTGAGATTACTCAGCTGGCTGAGAACTGCTTTACAAATGTTTGGTCTGATAAGATAAGCTCAAACCAAAAGAGTTGAGTCAAGAAACAAATGCCAGGTCCGATACGTTTTTTTTAAGTGGAAATTTGACATGTATTGGCGTGAAACGCAGGGTTTTCCACACAGAATGCAGTTTCCATTGTGATATTATCAGTTAATAATGGATTAAAAAGGAAAGTCCACAACAGAAGCGCTGTCAAATAATGACGCAGCAATCCTCCCTCTAATTTACGATCTTATCCAAAAGTCTAAACAGCAATGCCTGCAACATTATGTCGATCATGCAAATGTTCTTTTCCCAGAACAGCACTGAGATGAAGAATCACCAGATTTGGATGAAATAAAACCTCCGAAATAAATGGAAAGCCGCCATTTAAAAAAAGAGAAAAAAGGAGCAAAACTGCATTTTTCAGTTCATATATTGAGAGGAAAATATGAATTCACTAAAGTAATCATGTAGCATTACACCTCCATTGTTAACGTGCAGAGCAGCACTCGCTTGCTTCCCGAAGAGGAGCCTCACTGCAGGACACGCGTTATTCACCGGAGGGGAAATGTGCGACAGGAACAAGCTTGGAAAGGTCGATGGACTTTAAGCCATGATTTCGACGGCGATCGGAACCACAAGGTCTGTATCGACTGCATTTGCAGATGCAAAAGCTGTTGATATTACAGCATTCCACATAATAAGAAATACAACTTTACATTTGATCGAACACTTCAGTAAATTAAAACAAAAAAAACATACATTTCACTCAAAACGCAGAACTTCTTCTTCTTCTAAAGTCTGTAGGTACAGGATCACTCGACAAGGGGGCCGAACATGAACAGCCACTCTCGTAAAAAAACACACACACACAACAGTTTTGGGGGGGTGAGGACGGGGGGGAGCGCACTGGGGAGTGGCAGGCATGAACTAGCACTTAGTTTCTCAAAATAAAAAGGCGAGTCAGCGAACTTCTAGGGAAGCTGAGGGCAGAAAGACATTTCGGAAAGCGGAAATGGAGCCGGCGAGGCCTTTCCAGGCTGTTTTCAAGAAACCTCCATCACCGAGGTCATGAACCCTGCTGCTGCACGGATACAGTTTACCGAGCGGGACTGACAGAAATACCGACGGATGGACATCGACGGGTCCATTTTCCAGCTGTTGTCGAAGCGGTAGCGGCCCTAAAAAGGCACAATGATTAACGTCCCAGTCAAACGCTACACAAACCAGATGGCGAAGATGGAAGAGAAGGGCAAAGTCCTCCCTCTCTCTCTGCAACCAGCAGCACGGACAGGAAGGCACGAAACCACACACTAACACACACCCACACACACGTGACCCGCCGTGACCCTCCACGTACGAGAGCGCACAACGCGAAAAAACATTTTAGTAAACATCCTGCCCACGGCCACGGAGTGCTCGGCAGACGCATTCCAATTTAATGAAGCCTTCCCTTTAAAAACATTCAAATCCACACAATGGGAAGTTTCTATCCCCGTGCGTGGCCCAACCCACAAACGGCGGCAAAAAAGGCGGACGTCTACCCTGCGCCTAAATAAGAAATGTCAATCGTCGGCAAAAGAGGCGTGCAATCAGGAGTCTGTCTTCTCGCTTCCTCCGGCCCTCCGACAGGCCGCTCCATGGCAATGGAGTCCACAAACGGGACGGCGTTTGCCGTTGACCCAGCGTGCAAACGTCCAATCACACGAACACTGAAGCGGCGGCAGCGGGCTTCAAAGCGCTCGCACAGGTATCGACTGAAATCGCAGGCTGGATCCTCTCCCCGAGGCGCGGGAGCGTCTCGCATATCAAAAGGTCGCCCTTCCGACAGTTAACAGCATCTCTTCCAGCTCGCTTACATGAAAGCCAGCGCGGCGGCGTCTTTTAGAATATGCCGCCCCCCCCCCACTCACAGGGGCCACACTTCAAAGAGCGCCGAGAGCCGCGGTAGTTTCTGGACGTTTAAGTAAGAAATAGTCATGGTGGGGGGGTGGTTGGAGGGGGGCATTCAACATTTGGGGCACTGAACGCCATACCGGGTTTGCCCCTTTCTAGACGTGCCACTTTACACCCTCGCTGCGGGGGTTCTGACTGCAGTCAAGGAGAGGGAAGTGTGGTTATGTACGGCACACATCTGGCCAAGTCCTTATCACCATGGGAAACCGTCGGAGGACAAGCCTGTGTCCCCCCCCCCCCCCCCCAACCCCCCGTCCTCTCATCTCATGTGGATTTCAGCTGCGGTTTAGCAGCCATGTCCAGCTCTCACGCGCCGTCTGTTCCACAGAAGCCCGGCCCGAGGCCGCGTCAGCACTTGTGTGGGCGGAAACCGAGTGAGGTCAGCGGCCTGAACGAGGCCGGCAGAGGGTCAGACCGACGGCGCTGCTCGTTTCTCCCGCTAGGAAGGAATCGAGTGCGGACTCTTTCTCGCTGGGAACCTGTTGAACGCAAGCCTTCATATCCTGTTTTTATAAAACCACAAGGACTACAGGGCGACATGAAGAACCCCTTATCAGCTCTTAGATCAGGCGGAGCAACAACCAAAATATGAAACCAACTCAGGGTGAATAAACCAGACGAAACCGTCTTTCACAGTCTGTCAGGAAATGCCTTGTGATCTCTGACCGATCTAATGACAGCGCTGTGGTTACAGACTGCTGCAGCACAGCGGTGGGTGCGATGCCTCATTCGGGTCATAACGGGGGAGAGATGATCACCCGCCACACCGAATGAACGCCACTCACATCAGCCCATAACTCACTGTGTGACTGCGTGCGGAAGCTCTTTGGCACGCATCGCATCATTGCGTTAATGCGCATTCAGGTGTTAATTACGATATGATTGCTCAAGAAAAAAAAAAAAAAAGCCCAAAACGCTCCCACACACATTCTGCAAGGAGCGATTCACAGGCCAAACCGGAGAGGACAAACGGTACCAGTCGAGAGTTTGGACGCGCCTTCTGGCTTGATTGAGTGACAACCCGAGCGAGCCCCCCCGCCCACCCGCCGCCGTCCTCGTTCAACGTGCGTCCAAACTTTTGACGTCAAAACAGATTCCAAAGATTCGTCCCCTCGGAGGCTCGGCCATTTACGTTGGCGACGCCACGCGGAGTTGTTAACGTGTGCGCACCTCTGCTTCCCCTCAATGATCCCGGAACCGGACTTAATATTTAACCCCCCCCAGCTAGTTACGGTGGTCCAATAATGTGCATTCCAGCACTGAGCAAGTGTGTTGTTTTTGATTAGTGGTGGTTGTTCCTTCTTTTTCCTGGTGGGAGGGGGAAACACTTTTTTCACCTCCCTCCCATTAACTCCCCCCCATTACATTTCTCTCCCTCCTCCCGTTTCAACAAATGAGCTCAGTGTTTTCGCAGCGATTAGCGCGTGAGGGACGCACTCGGGGCCCCGAGTGGTTTGAGTGTTTGCGTAAAGATCCCAACCAAAACACCGAAACATTGGCCGGCATCAGAGCGAGCAGCCGGCAGCGTGAGGCCCTGCAGCTCGGACCGCGGTTTTGGTTTCATTCGGGCTGATTTCACACAGAAGGACGCATAAAAAGAAGAAGTTTTGTAATAAGCAGGACGCACTGGGAGCAGGACCGATTAAAACCCGCAAAGCCTTCGGTCGGCTTAAGTAGCTTGGTGTCCTCTCCGGGGGGGGGGGGGGGGGGGGGGGGGCACCAGAGGTCTAGCCACGCAGCATCCATCAGAAGCCGCTCTGGGAGGGGGGGGGGGGCGAAGGAGATCAGCCCTCCGTCGTCATAATGAGCATCGCTGGTCGGCGGCGGCGGCTCCGTTTGTTGTTGATTTCATTCGTGCGTCTCCCCTGGGGAGACAAAAAGAGGACGCCGTACCCGTTTGTGGAGGAGGAGGAGGAGACCGAGGACGGTCGGTTGTTGAGTAAACTGAATTAAGTCAAGAGAGGCGAAGACAAAAGATGAGGAGGAGGTGCCCAACAGGGTTCAGGGAGGAGAGTCTATTTCCCCTGGTGGAATGAATAACACTCGAGTGGGCTCTGGATTGGGGGGGGGGGGGGGGGGGGGCGCGAGGTCTTTGTGTGTTACGGCCGAGTCACGGCCATGGTGACAATAAAAGTCCCTCTGTCGTGGATTAGAGCTGTTTAACCTTTTGATCCTCTTCCCCTTTAATGTGGTCTTCAATCATGGAGGGTGTGGTACAAAAAAAAACAGATTCTCACACACACACACACACACACACACACACACACACACACACACACACACACACACACACACACACACACACACACACACATGGACACACACACACACACACACACACACACACACGCGGATTTTGTAGGCTCTTAACTGCAGCTTTCGAGAGAAGTTTAGGCTACTTGAAAATGTAACCCACTGTATCCTTTAGAGACTCCGATGAGAGGCTGGTAAAAGTAGACAAACCCAAAAGTATGTGTAGCAACATCAAGGCACCAGAAGCAATACTATAATAAATAATAATAAAGTGACGTATGGACAGTAAGCCACTAAGTGGATCGTTTCAGGCAACGATCGATCCAAGAGTTTAAATAGAAATGTTACCTGTTACTCTACTGGGACTGAACAGATGGAATATATTCCCGTTTTGCATTGAGGATTACAACAAGAGAGGACTGCTTCCAAACCAAAGAGATCCCCGTCTGCTTATCCACAGCAGAAATGTGAAGGCTAACACAATAAAAATGTTTTCTCAAATTCAGTACAATACAATACCTGATAGTGTTCGCAGCTGCAAGCAGCAAAGCTTTGCTGGTTCCCAGAACCCACAACAACCCAACCAGGGGATGCAAACAGCGAGGAGGAGGAGGAGGAGGAGTTCTGGAGCAACTTTCCAAACCGGGTACCATGAAACCCGCTTATCCCAAATAAAACAAAACATACATCCTTGTGTCACAGCGGCGGGCGGCGATTCGCAGGGACCGTTGTGACGGTGCAGAGTTATTCTGCCACCATGGCACCTGGCACCGGTTCAGTGCGCGCACGGAGTCCGGCGAACAGCGCACGGTAAGGGGGCTGCGGGGGGGGGGACTTCCAGAAAGCACCACGCCGCTGGACCACAGGCTGCACCTTTCAGACCGACACAACCGCACGCTTTCATGAAAAAAAATCTACCCATAAAATGTTTTTGTTTTTTTAAATCACAGTTTTTTTTGGCGTCGCACGGATCAGTGCGCAGCGGCACCGGGGACACACGCAGGCGTCTCGGGGGTTTGCTGAGGTTTCGACGCGGTCAAGAGGCAGCCAGCCACATTACGATGAATACGTTTCAACCCACGCAGCGACGCTTACGGTTACAAAAGTAGCGCGGTCGGATTCGTCACTCAAACGAAACGATGCTAAACGAGAGGCGTGTCGGTCAAGTTCATACAGGTGGACGACGCGTCGTTGGAGAGCTCTCCTGAATCCAACTTCACCTCAAGTTGAGCGCAGCTCCGGCAGATCCGCGCGGCAAGTCGCTCCGCTCTCGACGTAACGCTTGTTGCTCAACTTGCGGAGCGCCAGATACCCAGCTGTGACAACCTCTGTCAAGCGGGCGCCGATCACAGCCGCAGCTTCCGGTTTCCGTTTTTCAAAATAAAATAGGCCCCGCGATCAGACTGACTTAGCAGCATCTTAGTAACTCACGGGACCCCCAAACAGACGAATGCTGTAATATATGTACACGCTTGACCAAACGGAGACACGCACATCATTTTTGTGTTGTTTTCAAAGTACGCCATGATGATCACACACGACTTTTATTTTCATGAAGCAAAACCTTGCTACGTCCGGTAGTGATACCTGTGACGTCGTTGCATAAAAGAAAAACAAATAGTCAATAAATTATGGCGGCAACTATTATTAAAATGACTATTCCACTCGTTCTGGGTATGAGTCATCACCTGGAATAATTCATTTGTCCTCATTTAACTTTTTGTGGCGGGTGAGATTTCTAACATAAATTCAGTTTGCTTGTTTATTAAATATCATGGCTTTGATTCATTAAGCAGTGCAGTGATTTAGCAGACATCCACTGACAGGCTTCCAATGAGGCTAATGCCTATTAAAAAAAAAATATATATATATAGAATGTGTATGTAGCTACAATTTGCTCAACGTGAAATGTTTTTTAATGTGTATTTAAAAAAAGCTGAGAATATAGATGCATGTTTAAAGCACATCACGGTTGTATTATCCCCTAGTGACCTTTAATTATCCTTATTACCCTAACCTTTAATTGTTGTCTATTACCATTTGGTCGTCAAGCGAGCACTGGCACGGCATGTCCTCAGACAACTTGTAATTACTGAGCAATTTAAATTAAGTTATGGAATTAATGTTCTTCTCAAGTGTACCTCACTTTGAAATACTGGTTGTAGATTCATCACTGACAGAACAGGTGCGTGCATGTTCAGAACTTAGCGTGCTGTAGTCCATGAACGTTGCTCTGATCTTTTTCAATCATCTAACCGAGAGAGGGAGGAAGAGTTGGACCTGCAGGCCACCGATACCCACCCCAAGAATGGAAAACACTCAGCAATACAATCTCAGCGCGATATAAACACTTACAATTGACATGAGGCGATTCAATACAAGCGAATGGCCTTCTTGTTTATCCCGGAAAGAGGAGAAGGCAACACTGGACTCATCTCCCTGATACTGCCCTTCTGAGCAGAGCTGTGGCAAACTTTCTGTCAAGCTGAATTGATTTCCGTCCATCTGAAATGGCTTAAAGGCCAAGACCATTATATGCGGGAGCGATGTAATTCCAATGAATGACGTGGATTATTAACTTCAGAGGGATTGTGTGCCTGTGGATAACTCATCAAACGCCACTAGCTGTATGTGGCTGGCAGAGGGGGAGAAAAAAGCTCACTAGCCAAAATGGGAAAGTCTGTCGTGAGCTTTTAGTGGCTTTCATGAAGAATTTACATCAAATCCGTGTGGAGAGCGTTTTATTATTCAAACATTAAAAATGTAAACATATAGAGTGAATGTACAGAAAATACAAGCGGCTCATGAGGACGAACATGAAATTCAAGGGTCGGACGACATTCTTTTTAAACTTAACATCTTTAAATCTTTAAAGTGTGTGAGTAGCATCTTTGTCTTCAGGAACACTGCCATCTGCTGTTACATATGTACACACACACTCACTCACACAGACACAAATACACAAACAGAGTGATCCTCACTACAAGTTACTGCAATGCAGCATAAAAAAAACCTTTACACGTTGCTCCTCTCAGCATCAACGACACCCATCCATTGAGCTGGAGGAGTCGACGTTCATGTCCCAAACATCGGTTGAGGGTCTGAAATCTCACATGATGGTCAAACTGTGGCAAACACGGGGGACTTCTTGATGAACACCGAACGGATTAAATGTGTCGGCGACAGCGACCTCATATTGTCTATCGAAACTTTAAAATAAACACATTTAAAGATGGAGATCTGTGGCCCTTTTAAAATAATTCACAGTTTTCTTTATAATTAACATACTGTCCTTACATCTGCGTGGTAACGTGCGGTTAAAAACACTACAAAAGACACATTTAGCGCGTGTGCTACTACAGTTCGATCACACTTGTCCAATTGCTGCTATTATTCAGCTTCATTGTTGTTTCAGCGAACACTTAATTCTACCCACCGAGTTTACGACAAAGTCACCAGCACACCTTTCTCCCCCGAATGCTGCGGCTCCAACGTGCAGAAAGCTACAGGAAACTGGTACCCTCACTGACGTCGTGATGTCACCAGAACGGCACCCCGCAGGCTCAAAATGAAAACTGCGACAGCTGCTTTGGAGATGAGCCACTGACTGACTGGAATGAGAAGGATTTACAGCGTTGGTGGCTTTGGAAGGTGCAAAAATAACGAGGCTCACCAGACGTTGCTTGTCTACTTTTAAAATCTCTTTTTTTCTTTTTCTTTTTTGGCACGTGTGCTACTTTGCCAGGAAATCGTCACTACTTAAGTCAACAGCTCCTGAAAAAAGGGCAACGCGCTCCCTTCAGTGCTTTGAGGTGAGTGTCAGGGTGGAGGAGACGCGGAAGATCTGAGGCAGCATGGTGCTCAACTGGTAGAACATCTCCTCGGAGATACTCTGTCAACACAAAAAGAGAAGCGCAGACGGGGTTAGCGAGCAGCATGGGTGGGGTGGGGGGGGTGCAACAGCTTGTATGCGTTTTCAGTCCAGTCACTTCGCCAGTGGAAAACGGAAAACTAATGACACCTCATCGCAGAGAGAACATTAACGGGCCCGACGGTGCCCTTAAGTTCAACATCACAAGGTCTTTTTGAGATGCTGGGATAATGTGGACCCCGGCGGCTGAAGGCTTTTTAACGGGGGGGGAGACAAGAACGTGGTGAAGTGTTCATCTCTACGCCCGGTGTGTCTCTTTGAGGCGTAGAAAACAATGTCGCTTTCGGAGCTGCTAATTTTAAACGGTGTCTGAGCATGTCGCCGACAGGAGGCCCGGATGCTATCGGGAGTCCTTTGATGCCGCTGGGTGTTTTTTTACTTTCTATCATCTCAACCTGTCAACACGAGAAGGCGCCGTGTGCGCCACTGCGTTCCAGACGAACCGCGAGCGCTATTAGGTGCACGGCATCCAAATGGGACCGTGAGAAGATCACAGCCAGGCTTCATCCAGAGGTGAAAGACACGACTGCCCGAGCAGAGAGACAGAAACCGTGACCTGGAAGTTTTATTGCCTTTTGTTTCTACTTCTGCTCCAAGATCACGCCGGAGTGCGGAGTGGAAAACTAATCCTGTTGCTTATCACATAATTACATGGATGACGTCTCTCAGCTCTCTGTAAACACCGGTCAAGAGAAACTACGGCGCCATAATCCGTGATTTACGACACGCTCCTCAAACAGTCTCTCCTCTAAGCCCCGCACAGCCGGGCCAGGTGCTCCTTTTGTCATGTCGTGTACACGCGAGTCCTTCACTATACATTTCTCTCGCATTAACTGAGGTTTAGTGCTCGGAAGGACGATAGCGCGTCGTCTCGGCAAAGAGTTTTGAGACAGAAAACACGGCGGGGAGGAAGGGGACGTTCGCCTCTCACCTTTGGCACTAGAAACTGGACTGTGCGTGATATTCCTCCATCCCATGAGGCCATCTCCATCATGAACCCTGCGGACAGAAGCAGATTGAAGCAGTTATTCGCAGTTATTCGCAGTACGTTTGTATGTAGGAGCTCTCTGCTTATCTCAATCTGACAACAATTTATTATAAATTGTGCGTTTTTATATATATTTTTGGTTATTTCTTGCCATGTAAAATGCTGCCGTAGCGGCACCAACACACAGCAGGCTAAGGACCAACGAGTCCAAGTGGCAATGTCACTTGCCGCTTTAACTGTGATCATATTTGAGGGAGCGTACAAGCTCAGGAAAATGATTTCCCAGGTGAAAATGTTGTTGGATGTCCATCTCACCTTTGACACATTTGAATACCAGCTCTGCTCTCTTTAGACACCACGGGATGGTCATCTCCTGCAGAGAGGCGAGGGGAGACACACAAAAGATGTGCTGGAGGATCAAACAAAATCCCACCTCGTCTGAGTCGAGTACACATTAGTTAATATGTAGTCCGTACAGTATCTAAGTCAAACACAAAGTGGATCCACACAAATAATGTTTAAGTGAAGTCACTTTTGTTTGCAGACTGCTGGTTCTCACACAGTGACCTCAGCAGGGAGTCATCGCTGCATCCGACCTTTGCTCACAACATCAGACAGGCAGAGTCACAAACACAATCACACACACTCACTCACTCACTCACAGGCGCACACTCTCGTTATCCGCTGTGTTGCAGCTATTCCTTTGTCAACAAACTGGCCCACGATTGCACCGGTGTGAATGCCCGTCACCCACTGAGCGGTTTGCCCTCCATCAATCGCATCAGACTCGAGCAGCGGCGATCTGACACAACTAATCAACCGTTTGGCCAGAGTTTTACAAAGGCAGGTGTGCTCGCACAAGTTATTGAGGCTGGTAAATTACAACCAGGAAGATGAACAAAAGCGTTGTCAGGTTGGCTTATTTTTGCATTCCACAGTTCTTCAAAACAAACTGTGGGGTTTTCAATGCCAAACACAAGAGCAGGCTTGTGCCGACAGGCCTAAATCACAGCTAAGCAGCAAACAAGACTGAAAGGAAGATGACAAATAGAAAGTTCTGATGTGGAACCAGAAGCTATTAATCAAAGTTCCTCCGGGGGCTTTAAAAAGTTAGAAGCCTTTTGGTTACGTAAACAAAGACTCTTGATTGGACCGGAGAAGGATGGAAATATTGTGGCATGATGGGGATCCAGGTAGAGGCTTCATGAAACGTACGTCCCGTCGTGTGAGACTCTCAGTTTAATATATTTCAATCTTAATTCAGTTAAGGAACGAGGAAGAATGTGCGCCTTTATTCATTTTTCAGCTGGCCAAATAATACGAATAAATTAAAAAAATGTTTTTCTAATTCCCCCACATATAATTTCCCCTATTTGTGATGGGATCTTCTGCTGAACTCTGCTTGATCCGACGCTGAGAGCTTGTGTGGCTGCACACACACACACACACACACACACACACACACACACACACACACACACACACACACACACACACCGAGGTCCTCGGTAAACACTAGAGTTCATGACCCTCTACTTTGGCCTCCTGGATTAGAACCGGGGTAATAAGCTGTTGGCTGATGAGCCAGGTCACAGCCGAGGACGCGGCGCTTCAGGGCCGGCGCTGAGGGCCACGCAAACCCGTGCAGCCGGGGAGGTTTTCTGCCGGGCAACAACAGGCCGATATCAGGGCCTGAGCGTGACCCCTGACCTCGTGGGACTCCATCAACCTAAGCTCTGGACTCTCGTTGTTTACGCCTTCGTACTCCAGCCACATGGAGCGGCCAACGACGAGTCAGTTATTTATTTCATTAAGCCGGTTCAATTCTTTATTTCTTTTACTCTCGGATTTGAAACTTTCTACCCGTTAATTTCGTCTAAAGGGTCGAACTTCTCTGCTCGCTCGTTGGCGTATTGCTCAGGTGTAACAGGTCGGTGCATATTTGCCGTACTATCAATATGTACAAAATCTGTGTGGAGCTCCTGAACCTGCAGAAAACCTGTAGTTGAAAACCTCAGGACTACATGTAAAAAACTAGAAAAAAAAACATTTAATCATATTATTTTGATATGACGTAGGACTTTCCATCTAGAAGAGATAATAATTAGTGTAAAAAACAAAACCACGAAATTATTATGGTGTTATTTTTGTTGGAATTTGAACCAAACAAAGATGGTGTTGGCCAGGACATCCCAGCTTGGTGGAGAACGGCCCTCGTCCACACAAACAAGCGTCGGCCTCTCTCACCTCGGACATGTCGTGGACCAGCAGCAGGGGGACGGTGATGGTGGTGACGTCATGCGTGCAGCAGACCTTCAGGATATTTCTCAGGCCCATGATGGCCGGGTCCCGGGCCGTGATGTTCCCCGAGCGCACGTTGTCGTCCACGCACAGGTGGAACACCGCGTGGACCTCGGACAGGTTGGAGTGCCGCGAGATGTAGAACTCACCTTTGGGAAGAGGGGGAGGGGAGGGGATGCAGCAGATACAGCGTGTGACACATCGAGAGGGCGGTGTGCAGAATCATGTGGATTCAAATCAATGCAGCGGGGGGGATCCTGTGCTCTCTTTGTTTGGACGGACAACATCAACAAGCATTACTACCTGGTAGGATGTTGGATGGGTTTCTTTCGAGGTTTTTGCTCTTATCGTCGCCTCCGTTCCTCAGAGTCTCTGTGAGGAAATAGGTTGAGAAATACAATAAAAATTTTGTCAAATGATGATGCCATTGACGGCTGAGGCGGCTGCTCTTTGGGAAGGATGTTTCTATACACAGCAGCCCGGGAAAGTGTCTTCTTCTGCATTCTGACTGTTTGAATCCCCGGCTCACACCGCCGGCATTATGCTGAATCCAATGTTCCAGCTTTGTAAAAAAAAACAAAAAAAAACTGTTTCCTATATAAAATTCTGCGCTGCAAGGCAGACATTTACACAGACTCACTCCCCATGTTGAGAGGAATTCAGCCAAACCAAGACGGTACGACCACGTGTATCATGGCCACAACGTACAACGTCAGTTAACCCTTGTGTGAGGCACGGCGGGCTAAATAAAAAACAAAAACAAATGAATGATCAACTACATTCCTCAGTCTGGATTCTGATCTTCTCTAAATGTTCTGTCTCGATTACAGATGTCATGGAGCAAGCAAAAGTCGGACCGGGCTGCTCTTTCTGCTTGCTGCTCCGCTGGGCTCTGGCGTAGAGCAACACCTGCTGCACCTCGTCCAGCTGCGCCTCCAGGAAGGGGAAGTGGAAGTCTGTACACTCCTTCGCGACAGTCGCAAAGTCTGAGGGGGGAGGGGGGGGGGGAGATAAGGTTGGTACACAGCCACAATTAAAAAGGAGAATGGACCGCCTGGTCTATAAGCATACCATTAAAGGAGTGCTACCCCCCTTCTTTAAACACTTTAAATGAGCAAACTAACCCCCCCCCCACCCCCCCTCCCTACCTCTTTTGATGCCGCTGTAGGAGTTGACCCTGTTGTCGACCAACAGCACCAGACCACAGAGGGAGGAGGAGTAGAGCGAGAGGGCCGTCTGCAGCCGCCTCAGCTTGGCGCCGCCGCTGCCGTGCCGCCGGTGCTTACAGAAGTCCAGCACGTCGGCCCGGACCAGCCGCAGGTTGTGCATCGTCTTCAGTTGAGCTCCTGGTCGGGAAAGTGATCACGTGTTGAACCGTAGCACCAGTCAATACAGCTTTTTAAAAATTTTCTTTTTTTTTTTACGAATTTTAGTGAGCAAAACCGAAAAGCAAAACAGATATGAGTGTTTCGGGGAGACTGTCGATGAGGTTTCTGTGCGAGGACTCGGAGAGCGTGTTAGAAGTGGAGCACCTAAGTGGATGGTGAAACTCTCCTCCAGCGGAGGCTGCTCCTCAAACATCCTGGCTCCGGAATCTGCCTGCTCCGACTGCTGGCTGTGCTGCACCTTAATCTCCTCACTGGAAATAAAGAGATCTATTTTTACTGCTTTGAAATGATTTGCAAGATTTCCTCTACGCGGCCTGGAAAACACATTATTAAAAGGGATAAGGCACATTTCTTTTTTGAAGACTATCGCACTCATTCAGCAGCAGTTTCCCGTGGCGACTCAAAAATATTAAACAATGTATCTGTAAATGTGGTAAGGATTTTACTTTTGCTTTCAGCACTTCAATTGGAATCAAATTTGCAGCCTGAATTCTTTTACAATGCTTGATTACAAAGTGCTGATCTGGAAGTTGGAAGTTCCACCAACACATAACAAAATAATGATATTCATCATTAAGAGAGAGGACTGATGCAGGGTCAGCACATTGTCCGAGCAGCTCTTAGCATTCATCCTTCGAGGCAGTGGTGTTTTGATGGAAGAGGGACCTAGGACCTGAATTTAAACACTCTCTTTAAAACAGACCACATTACCGCAAACCGTCATTCGATTCTTTCTGCACTTCTTATCCAACAATGCCGGACCGAACTGATGTTATAAAGCTCAGCATTGGTGCAACTTCGATGCAACACCAGTTTATATGTACATAAAAAGGGCCAGTCGACATACCACGTTTTGGATTAGTAGGTGAGTAATAAGTAAGATCCTGTCTATGGAATGCCGTTTTAGTCAAAATTAAATAAATGAATAAATACGTAAATACATGAAATATGGATTTGAAATACATCATGAAATAAATAAATGAGGCAATAAATACATAAATATTAAATACATTTAATTATTTCATGGTACTTTATTTCATAATGCCACTTTTCATTTCCGGAGTCTTTTATTTCATAATGCCGTTTTTCATTTCCAGAGACTTATTTCATAATGCCGTTTTACATTTCACGCTCTTATATGCAAATCAGGGAGCGTGGCTACATCTAACATTCAGAACAGACAACAGTGAGATTAGCGCTGGTACTACAAGCACAGGTGCTGGACGCCCGCCTCTGGATATTCCTGGATATTGGATTTCTTGGGTTGATAGACCGGACAACACAAAGTTAGCCAGCTTGTCGCCAGGAATATCCAGAGGCGGGCGTCCAGCACCTGTGCTTGTAGTACCAGCGCTAATGTTGACTTCTTCAACTTGGACCTCTTCCACACGCATGAAAAGTGAATGAAAAGTGGCATTATGAAATAAAAGTACCATGAAATGAAAAGTGGCATTATGAAATAAAAGTACCATGAAATAATTAAATGCATTTAATATGTATGTATTTATTGCCTCATTTATTTATTTCATGATGTATTTCAAATGCATATTTTATGTATTTACGTATTTATTCATTTATTTAATTTTGACTAAAATGGCATTCCATACCTGTCAGTTAAGGGTCAGTTTGACCTCGAGTCAAGACTTTTTCTGCAGCAAATCTAAAGCCATTTAGTCAGAATCAGGCTGTTTTAGAACTTAACAAGTTACTTTAATCATTTAGATCCCTCTTTTTATCACCTTATTTTTCTTAATGTAAGTGTTAAGTGTTAGTATCGACTCAATGCTGAATCACATATGAATTTAAACTGAATTTAAATCCGACAATGCCACACAAACATCATTCCTCAGTTTTTCCACGACTCCAACAGGCTGACATAGTCTGTTGTCTGAGTGCACACACACACACATACGCACACGCACACGCACACACACACGCACACACGCGCACGCACTCACTTGATTTGGTTGCTGTTGTTGGACTTCTGCAGGTCCTGGTGCAGACTGATGACCCACTGTTGATACTCATGCTTTTGAATGCCAGTAACTTGCTTCAGCTCACTGGCCCACTTGTTCTCCAACACCTGCTCAAAGGAGTCAAAGTCATCCACCGAGGAACTGAGCAGGCCAGAGCCAATCGGATAATTCACCACCTGAACCCCCTGAAATGTCTGCGGTCAAATGATAACTGGGTACTTGGATCAAAGGGCACCTGCTATTAACACTTTTTTACCTGCTGTGCATCAAAGTGTTGAGAGGCGACTGTGTTTACATCGTGGTCACTCAAAGTATTTCCCAGCTCGTGCATCACTTTGTCCATTTCAACGGCTTGCCTGTCAGACAAGGAAAAATATACATTTCCCTTATTTGATTAGAGTGATCGGGAAATACATCTTTATCTACAGAGCCCTCTGAGATATTCACCCCATCAAGTTATACCTATTTTCAAGCAATGCAACCTTGAATTTGAATGGATTTATTCATGTATTTAATTAGCAAGCTGAACATCCAGAAGGTGAGAAGAGCTTCAGCACCTACAAGGGTCTAATTCACAAAGACAAACACCCACCTCTCTTGGAGCTTCTTAATCTCCATGTCCCTCTCGCTGATGAGCTCGGAGATGCTGACAAAGTAGTTGTGCTCCAGATTAAGAAGCGTATCCGAGGCGGGCGAGTGGATCAGCTCGTGGTAGACGTCGGCAAAGTCCTCGTCCCAGCTGGGCTCTTCGGGCCGAGCGTGCTCCAGCGTCGTCTGAGACAGAGCGCACAAAGAGAGTTGCCCTTTAGAAAAAACAAATCTGCTGCACTTAAAAGTGGCCAGTGAGAAGCAGAGACCGAACAGTATCAGAATGTGAAACTCCCTTATTTATACAGACTCACACATGACGGGCCCTGGTAAACTGATAGATGCAGGCGCTGAGGCGGCCCTCGTCTTTCTACAAATACCCAAGACTTAAGTAATAAGAGACGTTCATCATATAAGAAACGTGTGGGTGAGAAGTTTGTTCTTAGTGTACTCATTGGAACTACAAAGTCTACTTCTGCGTGTCACCCGACGGTTTGCTATTGATCGTTGACATAAAGTGACGATCATTCTCTCAAGGATGTGCAACCCGATGCAATATAATCAAAGTTTAGCCAAGTGCATGGGAGAGACATTACATTCACATGCCGGCTTATGGAATAAGATTATGTTTTTTTGTCAAAAACTCGATGAATAATCGATGCAGATGAACGGCACTACTTCTTTTGAAATGACTAAAAAGTAGTGCATCTATTTCACTCAGTATATAAAAAAACATATTGTGTATATATATATATATATATATATATATATATATATCAGCTCATAAAAGTAAAAGAAAGTGGTGATGAGTGGCTTTATGAAATCAAAATCAATCCAAGAAAATGCACCATGACCGTGAATCTGTCAACAGCCAGTCCAGCAAATACTGATAGGATAAGAAATCAATGCATTTTAGTTGTTATGCACAATAAACATACTGAAATATGTAGTTACCTCCACATAAGACCTGGTCCACGCGTTGGTGAGCAGGTTCACATCTACATCCCCCACTGTGAGTCTTTGCAGGGCCAGCTCTGCCTCTCTGTCATAATCCAGGATGGTCTCACTCTCAACAAAGTTGAAAAGGGAAGTTTTTAGCTCTAAAGGAAGAGGTGAAAACACAGCGAAAAAACATAATTTCAATGTTCTAGTTACTGTGCAAGCAAAATGTTATATTTCAAAATCAACAGACTGGCCCCATTGCATTAGATTGATTCAAATAACAGCTTGCATTTTGACAATAACACTTAATCCCCATGAAGACATGCAGGAAGATATTGCTTAAATAGATTAATCTTTAATAACCAGAATTCCACTGTTTAGCTTTAGAGAATTTAAATCAACACTTGAAATACCATTTGTGGTCATTTTGTGACAGTTCTGTCCAATGCTAGTCGGTTTTGTCAGAGAAGGTTGTGAGAAATAAAGAGATGTTGCAACAACGGCCGGGGACCTTTCTGAAAGACGCAAACATTTTCTGACAAGTTTCCACAATCAAATGCTCGCGCTCGGCTAATATCAACATCAGAATTGCAATGATCCAGCTTAAGAAGCCAATTCAGGGTTTGCCTGAGAAATGCCAAAGGTCCAGCTGGGGGCAGGAGGGGGGTCACTCGCCGTTCTCTATGTAGCAGGGTATTTTATGCAGCAGGATCAGGCGTCCGTGGAGGTCACAGATGTTCTCTTGAGCAGGAAACTGCAGAGGCACTTTGAGGACACAATTGTGTTTCCCCGCCTTGAACTCAAACACGAACTCCTTCTCCGCTGTGCTGCTCGCTTTGCATTTGTTCTTCTTCATTCTTGCGTCTGAGAAAAGGTGAATAGATGAAGCGTGAGAGTCTCATGGGAAGGGAAGAACGTCATCGACCGTCATTCTCACTGTCATGTGGAATAAGTAAGGAAACCAGAAGGCAAAACGGTGTTCCCGAACAGAGCAGGAAACACACTGATTACGGGATTTGTTTTTTTAATAAATACATGTTTAAACTGTTACTAGCAAAGGATGTGGGTTTCGCAGTTTTTCCATCATGTGTAATGACTGTCAAATGTCACCCGACGGTCCCATGTTGTTACTGCTGCAGGCTAGCTAGCAGCGTAGCTAAAGCTAAACATGAACGACTAAATAAAAAGAGGCCACCTCTGGGTGAACACGTCTAGCTGAGCATCGTCCTTTGATTTAAATATGTTATAAGCGAAGGTTTTACCTGAGAACGAATAAATGTGGCGTTTGTCTGCTTTAGTGGCCCTGCTGTCAGATTCAGTCAGCTGACCGCTTCAGTTGTTCGTGTCTTCAGCGCCATGACAGAAAAAGCACTTTCGCAACTTTAGATGGTTGTTAATGTAAAATATTTAATGGTGTTTATCAAACCTGTTGTGATATCTCTCTAAAGTTTATTTGTTTGTTAAATCGTAGACATTTTATATGGATTATTTTGTTCACCTACAAAGTAGATTTACAAAGCCACGAATCTAATGAATGATCCTGAAACTTAATCAGGGAGAGTTTTATTCCTTTGGCATTATCGCCCCCTGCTGGAAGATTATCATACAACCACGCATGCTCTTGATTCAAATTACATAGGAAATGCAGGCAAATCCGAAACTTTTAAACAATGCACTTTTGTACTAACAAACTGTGGAACTTATAGCGTTGTGAATTACCTGATAATGAATAATTATGATAGATAATACAGTTGATTAATATCAAATCAATCATATTTTGTTACCTCGTACTAATGAGTTAATAAATACACGACTGAAAGTCTAATTTGAAGAAATATGTACTGGATACTTGGTTTAGACGGTTTTAGTCTTTAGCCAAAAACTCCACACAATCCAATAATATTTGAACATGCAAACACTAGTCTATCACATAATGTGTTAATTCACCTGGTATATATGTTTTAAAAGTGACATTCAGTCAAAATTATGTGAAGATCATACAATCTGGTGCGGACCTCAAACTCACAGGATTTTTAAAGTTTTGAATTGAATTTAAGTTCTGAATTGTTTGTGATATTTCTAACGTTTTCTTGACAGTTTGCGTGTACAAGGGGTGCGTGTGACGTGCTAGTGTGCACGCACGTCAAAACGCGCGTGCGTGTTTTCTTCAAGTTTGAGTGAGTAAGGGAGCGTGTAAAAGTATCTGTACCATACATATCCAAATTAGCCTCTTTAACGTTTTTAGAAGGACATCACCTAATCCTTGACATCCATCAACCTTTAGAAAAATACATATTTCGAAGATAGTACATTGATTGGCTTGACACGTTGTGCTGATCGCACTGTTGATTTGTACTACGCTTTTGAATTGGCGTGAGAACTGGCAGACGCTCCCTGCGACGAATCAACCGTCGCGTCATACCTCGCGTGGCCAACGGCTCTCCGCCGACTGCTCGCGTCGCCCGTTGAATCACTCGACTCAGCCCGTTCGCCTCACTTTGGGGAGAAAATACGGAATAAAAACCAGGCCGGACTTCCCCATTAAACGCCGGTTACCGCAGACACACTTCCCCGGCCTCCCGTTTGTCTGACTGCGGCGGCGGGGCGTGCTTTTCCTGGGTTCGCTGGCTGGGTTTGCTCGGACAGGCAGCGGGGAGTTAACGCTCGCGGAGCTGGTCCCGAGTGATGATGGAGCTAGAGTCGGCCAGTAACAGAGGCGAACTGGGAGCTGTGGGGGACTCTCTGCAGCCACAGACTCCCAGCAGGCACGAAAAGAGCCTGGGGCTGCTCACGACCAAGTTTGTGACTTTACTACAGGAGGCGAAGGACGGAGTGCTGGATCTGAAAGCGGTGAGCATGCAGCCGGCTCTTTGTTGTTAGCTAGCACATGTCATTTTGAGCCTGCCCGCTGTCGTTGGGTTGCATGCACTTTCGCTAGCATGCCAGTTAGCATAGCCTAGCTGTGTAACAGGCTAATTCTTTGGGACACTTATTTGCCATTGGGGTATTCATGATTGGGTCGTGGTATCTGGCGTGTCGCGAAGTCGGGCTTCAAAGTGAACTCCCAAGAACACGGGTCAACTTTTCTGCCTCCGCCCCCCCGCGGATTCAAAGTTTAAAAAGTGGGTCAGCTTTTGTGGTTCCCATTAAAGCTAACGCTCCTGCATCTTAACACATGAGCAATCCTTTTCTGATTGATTGAAACGTCTTTGTCAATTACCCTCATGCATTCCCTCCATTAGTGTCCAATAGGAAGTGGTCCTATGGTTTAGCTTCTAGACCAACGTTGCGTTTAACGTCACGTAAACTAAAGTTAGCCGCGTCGAAGCCGCCATACATAGATGCTGTATTATATTTCAGGTAAACCATCGTGCTGCTTGCTGAGCAGCCACAGTTTCGGTGACAAAAGTTGCTCGAACAGCAAGTTATTTATTTTGTGTAAACTCATATTATGATAAAGATATTTTGATTTCCGGGAAACTGTTTAGCCAGTGTCACTAACATTAATAATCCTCCCAAAGGGAGTAACCCTGAAGCCCAGACTTAAGAAAAGCAGTTTCACTACACACCCAAATTGGAATATAAATAGAAACATACACAAGTACCAGCCACGTTTTTTTCCTTCTCTCCACCAAAATCAGTGAACCAGATGGCAGCTTGACCAGCCAAGCATCCCTTTTGTATTGTCTTCTCACATAACCTTCATTGATTTGCCGGGCAAGCTGGATTGTAACAGTAATGCATACTTTGTCTTTCATTATCTCAATCCCTGTTAAATGTTTATTAAATGTAATGCATGTATTAATACCGAAACCAAAGCTGCAGCAATTGTTCGGCTAACTAAATCCTTGCGTTTTTTTTCTAATGCGAAAGTGAAAAGGGAAATTATTGTGTGTGTGTGAACTGTCACGGTTTTGTTAGCTGTCATTGAGCAAGTCTGTGACCACAGTGCCGACACGCAGCCCCAAGTTATCAGCACCAGCCATGTGGTTATCTGAGGTCGTTTAACGCCGAGAAGTTAGCTGGGAAGGAAGTTGAAATGCTCCTGTCATACCGTACAATGGGCGGCTGCAGGGCATTGAGCCCGTTGGCACAGATGTGTTTGTCTGGGTTTTAGTCATGGACCCTGTAAAGGAGGAGATGCCGCCAGTTAATCTTGACCATGTTTTTCATTTCGTTGGTCCTGAAAATTCAGGCCGCAGACACCTTGGCAGTGCGGCAGAAACGGCGAATCTACGACATCACCAACGTGTTGGAGGGAATTGGGCTGATAGAGAAGAAATCCAAGAACAGCATCCAATGGAAGTAAGCACAGTTTTCTTTTTCTTTTTTTTATTCCCAAAGAAATAACCAAATTTTTCTGCATGGTGCGTTCATGAGAAGTCAAAATGTTAAATTGAATCCTAATTTTCAAAAGACTGCCACTATTTGTATTTAATGAGCTAATTGGATCAATATTTTAGTTTAGTCCATAACTGACATTACAGAAATGTGATGCTTAGATAATGAGAGAGGGTAACTGTAGCAAACACTACTACTGAAAATGTTTCTTGCAAGCGCTTGCACCAATCCCCCCCCCCCCCCGACCCCCACCACCACTTTCCATTCAAAACATTCAAATTCTAGCTATCAGGAAACATTTATTGCCAAAATCTTGAGGATCAAGCACTAATTGTTGATTTAGTCGCGTTATCCTCCTCTCATGACTTTTAGTGTGTTATTCCGTGGTACAAACATGCTGATGACTCGATGACTGCATCTCGTATGTAATGCTGGTTGGGGAGGAGAGTGTGAGGCCACATGACGCTTAATAAGATCTCCGTTTGCATGAAATCTTTGCATCTCAGTTAAAGAGCTGACCAATTCGTCCATTTCCTTTTCTAATTCTAATGTTACAACGATGGAATGACAAAATGTCCTTAAGCATAAGAAAGCACATGACTCCAACCCGCCTGACTGTATGAAATGTGTTACTTTGTTGAACCACAAACATTAGTCAAGCTGTGTGGTGATTACCACATCTTTTACAGGCAATGTCCCCTGCCAATGCAGCTGTATTCATTTATTTTTTTGTCCACTAATACAAGGCAGATTGATCAGGAGAAAAGTGAATCCGTAGAGCTGAATAAATACCAAGCAGGATGTTACTGAAAAAACAGCATGCGTGCTCGCATGCGTGTGCAGCTGTGTTTGCATGCAGACCTTGAATGACCCTGTTGTGCATTTGTCTTTGTGCTTCAGGGGTGTAGGTCCAGGATGTAACACCAGGGAGATCGCCGATAAGCTAATTGATCTGAAGGCCGAGCTGGATGACCTGGCTCTTAGGGAGAACGAGCTGGACCAGCAGAGAGTTTGGGTCCAGCAGAGCATCAAGAATGTAACGGATGACTCTAACAACAGCCCATATCCTTCCCTGCAGTGTTTATGTGTTTATTGTGAATGGAATAGTGCTCCATAGATGCATCCCATGGTCGCCGGGATTTCATTCAGTCGCTTTCCAAATCCTAGAGAGGACCGCTCCTAAAAATATTGGTTTGTTAGCGGTGCTTCTCCCGGCCACGGTGATGTAATGCATGTTGGAGTACGTGTGGTATTTTTGTCTGCCCAGAATACATTCATTAGTTGAGTAATAACCATTAATGAATATAAACTAGCCTTCGTGTGACAGTTTCTGGTCCATATTTACATCCGTATACGACATGCAGCAGCCAATTAGTTTCTTAATTCCTCCGTCCACCAATTTTGTAATTTGACTCCAGCTACAAAAGAAAATGTCTCCTGGTTGATATCCATTTGTTTTATTCTGTGTCTTTTGAGTCCTATTTTGAAGAAGTACAGCACTATGTTTAGGAAGCTCCCGACTAACGGATCTTAAGTATTCAGTAAACCGTCTTGTCCTCGGTTCACCCTGAACAGAAAACGTATTTTAAAGACTTGCACAGCCCATCAGTCAAGTTGAATTTCAGTTTGATCATCGTGGAAATGGACCCTTAACAAATTCCCACTATGGCATATATCAGACATGAAGACCTCTGTGGGGCTTTCAAAGGTAATTGTTTCAGATGCTTGATGGTTTGTGACATTTATTTATACAGCTACCATCAATTGTCTTTCCTTCTTCTTCAGGTGAGACTCTGCTAGCAATCCGGGCTCCCATCGGCACACAACTAGAGGTCCCCATACCCGAGTCTGTGAGTCAATTCATTTTATTTTGTATAGCCCAAAATCGCAAATTACAAATTTGCCTCTGAGAGCTTTACAGTCTGTACACATGCGACATCTGCACAGGAAATTAAAAGAAAAAAGAAACCTTAGGGAGAACGTCAGAGGAGGGAGTCATGCATGTCCAGCTGCTGTTCGATGTCATGTTTCACACTGGGCCAATGTGTTCTCATCCAGGTCCTCAACGGGCAGAGGAAATACCAGATCCGTCTCAAGAGCTCATCTGGTGCCATCGAGGTTTTGCTGGTCAATAAAGACCCGTCCAGTTCCTCACCTGTTGTGCTGCCCGTGCCTCCTCCAGACGACATCCTTCAAAGCCTCCCCGTACCGACGCCTACCTCTCAGCCGCCCACGGCTGTCCCACAGGTCCGTGCAGGTCCAGCAATTACTGAATGCAACGTTTTCAATTCTGCTTTTGTCTCTCTCTTTCTTTGAAGTATACATTTTATTTATTTTTTCATATAAAAAAATAAATGTGACTTTTATCTTCTTTTACTTCATCTTTCCGCCCTTCAGTTCTCCAAAACTGCTCCAGCAATGATTGCAAAACCCGGCCCGGCCGCAATAACAGCTGTAGCAGCCACCGCGACAACCCCAGTATCAGGTACCAGGGTACACCAGCACTCTGAGCTGAAATACAGCAACTTGTGGAGGATACAAGACGGACGTATCTCAAATATTTCCATCTCATCTACTTTAGCGATTTGTTTTACACTGAACCCTTCTGGAAGTTTCTGTTGCTATAATCCCAAGATGCTCTTGTTTTATTTCAGAAGCGAAGAGCGCCGCGCCGCTCCCCCCTACGACAAACACGCCTGCTGCTGCTACTCAGCAGCTGCAGTCTTCTGCCTCGCTGGATGGATCTGCGTCCTCTTCTGCGTCCGCAGGGTTTCAACCAATTAAGTCGGATCCGTCTGAATGTGAGTATTTGCAAGTTGTTAATCTCTTTACAGCTTCTCTCTTTCGCACTCGCATTGTCTCTTACTCACAATCTTTTTCTCTCACACTCACTAAAATGGAGGTTTGCAAAGGTTAAAGGGATAAAGCTAATATTTTACCGTTACACTGATAATATCGTGCACATATTGGTTGTAAACTTTCTTTTACAACTTTCTATTCAGGACTGCGCCATATGAAGAGGACATTTTCATTATTTTTATACGTAAAGACATTTCTGTCCTTTTCATATTATATTTTTTTTTTCACATTTTGGAAGTCTAAACTCACGTAATACACAATGTGACACTCAGATCAGAACAAAAATGTCCTCGTTGGAATCCATCAAAACTACCATGTTTATCCCGTGACATCACGGTCACAGAAATAAACTCTGTAGAAGTGAGAGGGGGGGGGGGGGATATTAATATATATTTTGTTATGCCACCATTTTTGACATCAGGAAACATTTATTACCAAATTATGTTAGACATACAAGGAATTTGATGTGGCAGTTTGTGCATCTTCCATTTTGACATCAGAGTATCTTTTTAGATGCGGTTTAATATAGTGAGCAACTCTAGAGCTGAAATGTTTGCTGTGGTTTTCTTCCAGTGCTGGACTTTCCCAAAGAGCTTTCTGACATGTTTGATCCAACAAAAGGTAAACTGCCCCCGCGTAGAACAGGAATGACATGTTTGATCTGCTGTGATGTGGACTGATGGCTCTTTTCTGTATCTGGCAGAGATCATCAGCGGAGACCTTCTGGAGGACCTGATGTCATCAGAAGGTGAGTTTGACCTGACCGTGCCTAATAAAAGTTGATTTATGAATGTTAACATATATTGTATAGAACCAAGAAATTCTTTTATTCATGGCCTCCCCTTGTAACGCGTCCTGGATGTCTCATTTGTCCGTCTCCTCTCTAGTGTTCTCGCCTCTCCTCCGTCTGTCCCCCCCGCCCAGCGACCACGACTACATATACAACCTGGATGAGACAGAGGGCCTTTGTGACCTCTTCGACGTGCCCATCCTCAATCTCTGACCCCTGAGGTCGATGTCGGAGTGGGAAACGGCTCCCCAAACATGCTAATTCCCTTTTCTCTCCCAAGCGTCTCCCCCGCTCACTGACGGCGAAGGTGAGTGGCGGCGCAGGAACGCCGATTTGATCCGACGAGCGTCTTGAGGACACCTGAGCTCAGACCGTTGCTCCGAGGGCAGCCCTGTGAACACGTACCGGCATGACCGAAAACATCTTACTTCCTGCTTTTCCAAGGAAGCCGAGTCAAAGCAAAGTGACAAATAATTATATTTTTAAATGGCTATGTATGTCAAAGCAGTGTGTTTGGGTAACGGCGGCATGTGTGTGTGCGTGTGCGTGTGAGTTTCGTATTGAAAGCTCTCTTAACTTGAGTCCGATGTCTCTAGAGGGGGTACAAATGGAGAACCCCTTTTTTTTTATCAGGTAACTAGTCCCGGCAGACTAACGGAGCACAGCCCTCGTCACACGGCAGCTGCTTATGCATGGCTGCAACGAGTCCACACACAGCTGGTTAAATATGCACTGCCCTTATGTACATAGAGAATATATATTTTGAATTACCAGCACGCGAGTGTGTAATAATGAACTTCATTTGTAACTAAGGCAGATCATTGGTCTGTAAATGAACAAAGGTCCCGATACGCTAACGCTCGTGCTGTCTGTATGGCGCGCCGTGTTCAGTCCGGGGCATTTCGTCTCAAACCCTCCAGTGTCGGAGGTGTGTTTGTGAACCATTTACAGAAAGCGGAAAGCCAATAAAATATATGTAACAAAGAGGCACAGACCAAAACTAGAGGTCTAGTTGGAGAATTTTACCGTGCTACTCGTTTTATTCTTTTTGATTTTATTTATGTGAACACTGTCGAGGTCAACGTGGTGCTCATAAAAATGAAAAAAAAAATTAAATGTGTCTGCCACGTCTCCACTGATCATGAATTATAGCCCAGCTTTCCGTTTTATTTTGCCTCTGTACTTTCGGACCTTGCTATTTTTATTGCCTCTGATTATTATAAAACATAACTGGGGCACATCAAAGGACCCCCCCCCCCTCACTCTCTAAAAAGACTTCTGTTTCTTTTGTCTTTTAATTATGTATGTATATGATCCCATACCACCATACTCCGTTCATGTTTATGGAAAGGGACTTTTATGTATTTTTACTGAGCGAATATGGTCACGATGTCACTGACGACGCACGTGTGTTTGCTTGTTTGTATATTTGGTAAAGATCCCTATTCAGTAGTTTATTCCATGTCCTTTCTGTTTCGCGTGTAATGAGTTATTTGACTCTGATCCGTCTCCCTCTGCAGGGAGCAGGTGAGTAGCAGCTCAGGATGAGTCGTTGCGTGTCAAACTGTTAAAGTTCGTCCGATATCAACATCAATCATGTTTCTACATGGCTCCTCCATGTGGTGTGATAATGTCCCGTTTTGCCCCGGATTAAGTCTATGTAAAGTATGTGCTGTTTATATCCATCACTACCGCTTGTATAGGATAGCCTTTATTTTTTTATACCCGATAGATCTATTACTACTGCTACGTATTTGGGGCTTCACTTAATGGTGTTTTGAATTCCTCCACTGCTTCGTCAAAGCGTCTTGTCTCCTTGTTGCACTTTACATCACTGTGGACCGATTGGTTGTTTTTCAGCCGATTAGTAACGAGTCATCATGTTTGGGCGGCGTCATGAGTTTTTTCAGTAGAGAAGCCCGGCAGCAATGTTTGGAATGAATCAAGACATTGTGGGACGGCTTGAGAGTCGTTCTACACACAGTTTTTTTTTTTTTTTTTTTTACCAGATTCTCTATATGCTAAGCTATAGTTGCATCAAATGAAATAAAATAAACGCTTTGGCATTCCTGAAGTATTGTCTGTTTTCTTAAAGTAATGTGGCAAGTGGTTTCCGTGTGTCATGGTACACACACAGACTGTAGTTCTTTAAAAGCTGTTTATTTAGTAGATGATTTCATGAGGTGCTTACATTTTATTTTTAATGAAAACTGATTAAAAAAAGAAAAGGAATATGGTTGTGATGTTAGGTAAACCGTTCAACTCAATTTTTTTTGATGAACAACCATAAGCTATATTGAAATATTGTACTTTGATCATAACAGTGACCAATGTAATACTATTTGATACTTTATGTCCTTACTGGAGGTTACGGTTGCATGGGAGTATGCAGCCGATCAACCCGTGTGTTTCCATTGATCCTGACACATCAAGTCATCTCTCATAGACAATTGTGCGACCTCATAATAATAGAATCGTAACATAAAATAATATTCTGGAATTCGGATGCCCTTCTACTGTTTATGAGCATTAAAAGCGTCATATAATTGTGATGTCATCATTACGCCCACAATTTGATCATTTGAAACGGAGTTGAGGTTTGGTTACAACACGCGTGAGCTACATGACGTGTAATAACGTAATGTAACATGAAAAATACCGATTCAAAGTCAACGTGTCGACCTGCAGCAGTGACGTCATTCATCTACATAAAGGACATACAGCTGTTATTGGGGGGGAAAGGACAGCAGAGGGCAGCTGTAACCTGCTGCATCCGATCCGGAACTTGGATTTAATTAACCTACTTCTTAGAAATTTGAAAGCAGAAATTGTTCAGGTTCACAAGCACTAGCGGCATTTCACGGCTTCCTGCAATTGTACTTTCAAAGTAACACTGACATTTAGGAAGGTAACATCTCGCATCCACAAAGTTGAGGAGCAATTACACTTGATGGAATAAGTCAACATTGGTTGTTCAGTTCGTGCATTGTTTGCACATTTTGTACCATGACACATTGGAGTTTTAACCCCAATGCGCTCAACCGGATGGGTTTTATTTTGAAAGCGCAACCGGAAACTCGTGGCCTAAAACCCTCGCTAAAAAAAACTCTCGCAGAGAGACTCGAACCAACCCGGAACCTTTGGGTCCACTAACCATTCCTAACAAACCATCGCAGGGAGTTCAGCCCTTGTTTTATTCCGTTGAACAAGTTGAAGTATTTCTCCGAGCGAAGTCGCTGCTGCGGGCCGAAGAAGTTCCTTCCGCGGGGGAAAGTAGACCCTCGCAGATGCCTCTCGCTCCAGCCGCGGCGGTTCCTGTGGGACAGTGAAGTTTATCACAGTTAGTGAAGTTAGTCCTCGACTCCTCGAACCAGGTAGGATTCTCTCTCTCTCTCTCTCTCTCCTCGTCGCGTCATCTTTCTGCAAAAAGCATCGGCCGCATTCGCATCAGTTTGAAGGACTCACCGTTAAGTTACGTTCACGTTTATTTGCCCTGGCGGATTCACTTCTAACTAAGTTACTTATCTTTAAACACAGTTATTGAACTAATGTCACTTAATTGAGCTTCCAGTGTTTATCTGCACATGGAGACATTCATCTGTGTGGAGCTGCATCAACCTCATTAACAGGACGCACGACACTTTAATATTCTTTACACTTTAATAAATACAAAGCAAGCAAGCCATTACACCCCAAGTCAGTCTTTGTCTGTGGTCTACCCTTTAGGGTGTGTGTGTGTGTGTGTGTGTGTGTGTGTGTGTGTGTGTCAGTGAGTCAGGCTTTGACAGCTGCTGAACATGGTGGAGCTTTTAATCTGAAAAAACCTAAAAACTCTTTTATAATCTCGCTGTTTCTTCTGGAGTTTCTTATTTTCTTCTGCTGTGACCGTTATAGCTCCACATTGCAATAGTGACATGACACCTAATAAAACTGGCAGTTGTCAGATTTATTTAGTAAATGTATCAGCCAACTGTTTTATTTATTAATCAATATTTTCGAAAATGCATAAAAATGCCCAGTAGTGATGACTCCTTTTGTAATGTCTTCAATGTAAGTAGCCATGTCCAAAAGCCAGCACTGAAACCAAGTATATTGCATTTGATGTTCATGTAACTCATTCATTTGTTGAGATGAGTAGTGTACTTGTGTACTAATACCTCTTAATTTCGCTTCTGTTTAAAACCAGTTGAAAAAAACTGAGCTGTTTCAGCTTCTCCTCCACACACACACACACATACACACACACACACACACACACACGCTGTGTCTCCCTTGCTCAGGTTAAAAAGGGGAAACCGTTTTGAATTCATGAGCAGAGGTGTGCAACAAACTAAAAGCCGTGGTTCGATTCCCGGCCCCTGAAGTGTGTGTGTGTTTGTGTGTGTGTGTGTTTATTACAGATGATCACGTGTTGATGAATCGGTGAATGCCGGCTTTTGTTGTAAAAACCTTTTTAGGGTAATTCTCTCAGACTTGAACAGCACCACATAAATGGGATCCATTTACTTTATTTAAATATTGCTGCTCTTGGTGGTGGTGAGACGAACTTGAGGGCGGCATGGCCCTCGGCGTGGTGATGGCGGGGGAATGTCAGTGCGGGCTGAGCAGTGTTCAGCAGCGTGTACGGACAGGTCGAGGGTGTCGACTCACAGTGCTGCTGCAGCACCTTCCCTATGTGTGTGTGTGTTAATAGTTAGTAGTTTTAGTTATGGCATTATGTTAAGAAGGGAACCGGGTCCCTCTAATATCTATTGTACATTAGCTGTGTCGACATTTCCTTTAAATCACTGTATTTATTCAAGTGCCTTGCGAAAACTCGTTTTTACTGAGCTTGAACACATCATGACGTGACGCAACACAACGTCTGTTTGCTGCTGTGGATACACCAGCGGTTCAGGAAAACCCACATATTGTGACATCGCGCACAATCTGCGACGAGGAATGATCTTGATTGTGATTGTTAATATCATATGGTTCCTTCCTGTTTTTAAAAAGAAAATTCTTAAATTCTCAGACTGGAGAGAAACTGATTGTCTCTACCTGCTTGATAACATAATGTATCTGAAAGAACCAATAGTCACACTCAAAGATATTTATTGCAGACTTGCCTCATTCAGTTAAAAATAATACAGTAACATTAAACATGTATGATTTAAATTAAAAACTAATGTATCAGCTCAGTAAAACTCTTAACTAAAGCCAGTTTATTATGGACCGAACCGTAGAATCATCCGCTGGTCTCAGACGTTCCCAATGGGAAGCCACAACATCCATCCTACGCTCCTGTGGGGAGGCGGGGGGGGGGTGTTTTCATGCAACCAGGCAATACTTTGGGATTCCGTGAATTCACGTTTAGTCCAGACAGATGTGCAGCTGACACCCCCCAGCAAAGACCTCGGGCGGTCTTTGCTGTTACAGAAACACGACGTGCCTGTTACCCGGAGTTTGCCCTTGAATTTGCTGATTTCTAAGCTGTGCTCAACAGAACTCCACGGCCCCCCCCCCCCCCCCTGTGGTTTACGTTGAGAAAATGTTACATCCAGATGCTGTGGATGCATTCATTAAAGAGTTTAACTAACTACTAACAAGGATCGGCTTTTATGAGCTGGAACACATGTATTGGTTACTTACACCTGGAGGTGATGGATGAGCCGCTCCATAGTGATCTCCTGTTTGACCTCCCGGAAGAGGCTGTGGCTGCTCAGCACCATGCTCTCATGGATGTCCAAGGACACCTGCTGTATAGACGCATCGGTCAGCTTTGGCGTTGACAAAGCTTGCAATCTGAAGGGAAGGTAAGGAGAGAAGGAGGAGGACTCTTGAGACAAGGGGTGCAACTGGTACGACGGGAAACAAAACAAAAGACCGCTGAGCGCGAGATGCATCACCTTCTTGATGAAGACAGACGACAAGTTCTCCAATGACACTATCCCATGATCCATCACCTCCATGAAGGCCTCAGCGTGTGGGTCATTATCACATTGCTCCTGAATGGACAGACAAACCTACAAAGGAAATTTGAAGCCGCTTTCGATTGATCCAAAAATATTGAAACAAATACTGTCAATACATGTTGCAAG